CTGTGCTTGATCTGTGCAGATTTCTCTCCTGATTCAGACCAGAACACTTTTTTACTGGAGGAAGCGTTATTATGGATTATAGACTCATATTTTAGTTAAAAGCGTCTTAATGCTGGATTTGTTTCAGCTTTTGTCTTCTCCAGATGTTAACTGATGGACTGGAGTGCTGTGGATTACTTGTGGATTATTGTGATGTTTTTATCAGCTGTTTGGACTCTCATTCTGACGGCACCCATTCACTGCAGAGCATCCATTGCTGAGACACTGATGCAATGCTACATTTCTACAAACCAGATCAAGAAATCTGCATCTTGGATGGCCTGAGAGTGAGGACATTTTCAGCAAATTTTCATTTTTTAATCGAACTGTTCCTTTAAAATCCTTGCAGCATTCTTCTAAGTGTTACTTAATGTTATATCACCAGCTGAATCATTGCAAATATATTCAATTTGTCACCCAACCCTAGTTGGCACCCTGTGAGATGATGAATAACAAGAGCTCTTTGGTGTGTGTGTGTGTGAAGTGGACAGTGTGTTCCTTGTTCCTTGACCTTAGTTTGTGGGTGAAGCACGTGTTTCTGGAGCCATGAGTGCTCTCTCACACACACACACACACACACATTTAAGGTTACGTGTGTGTAAAGCAGCTTATAATACTTGAACTAATCTATTCTGGTTTCTTCAGTTTCTCATGACCGACTCCTGAGTTTTCTCTCTCTCTCTCTCTCTCTCTCTCTCTGTAGGTAATCACTCCGTGTCGTCGGCTGGTTCTGTGTGCGGAAAACAGGAAAGAAATGGAGGAGTGGATCGCAGCGCTGAAGAGTGTTCAGAACCGAGAACACTTTGAGGTGAGTTTCTCCGTTTGACTGGATATGTTTAGAGACGGTTTAGACTGAAATCTATTACAGCACATTCTTTACAAGCGGTTGTACAGAAAGCAGTGGAAAACCTGTTTTTTTTTTCACACACAAAATGAGTCAGAATTCAGATTAATTTCTAGTTTAATTGCTAGCAGTGACTCACAACTACCGTTCATATTTTTTGTGCTGTTTAGTGACAGGTTATTATTATATATTATTGGCTTTTATTTTTGATATTTTATTTTTATTATTTTTTTGTTTGTTTGTTTTTATTAATTTTGTTACATGCTTTTGTTTGTTAGGTTTAATTTATTTTTTATTTCAGTTTTAGTTTATTCAGTTATTAGTTATTACTTTCATCTTTCATCTTAAACTGTAGTTGCCATGGCAACATGTATAATTATCATTTGGTTTAAGTTTCTCTTCTGCTCTCCAAGGCTGCTTTTATTTGATCAAAAATACAGTAAAACTGTGAAATATTATTACATTTTAAAACAGCTGTTTTCAATATGAATATATATTAAAATGTGACATTTATAATTATCATTTGGTTTAAGTTTTCCATCTAATACTTGTATTTTATTTTATTTCAGCTTTATTTTGATTAACAAAAATAACTGTTCAAAAGTTTTGGGTCAATATTAGTTTTTACATTTTTTGAAAAGAAGTCTCTTCTGCTCTCCAAGGCTGCTTTTATTTGATCAAAAATACAGTAAAACTGTGAAATATTATTACATTTTAAAACAGCTGTTTTCAATATGAATATATATTAAAATGTAATTTATTTCTGTGATTAAAGCTGTATTTTCAGCATCATTACTCCAGTCTTCAGTGTCACATGATCTTCAGAAATCATTCTAATATGCTGATTTGCTGCTCGAGAAACATTTCTGATTATTATCAATGTTGAAAACGGTTCATATTTTTGTGGAAACTGTGATGTGTTTGTGTCTCTGCTCTAGTCCACTCAGTTCAGTATGGATCATTTCTCTGGGATGCATAACTGGTACGCCTGTTCTCACGCTCGCCCCACGTACTGTAACGTCTGTCGGGAGGCTCTGTCTGGAGTCACGTCTCACGGACTGTCCTGCGAAGGTCCGGCTCTCGTTATGATGTTTTCTGATTTGATATGCGATAATTAGAGGTTCTTGTTTAGGTTGATTTTTAATTGTGTGGTTTGAATGTGTTTAAGTGCTGACTGGACTGAAAGCTCTGTTTGTCACACAGTGTGTAAGTTCAAGGCTCACAAGCGCTGTGCGGTCAGAGCCACTAATAACTGCAAATGGACGACCCTGGCCTCTATCGGCAAAGACATACTGGAGGATGAGGATGGGGTGAGTGCTAGTCATGCAAAAACAAATCCGGCTCGGCTCCGCTCTTAGTTTGGAATTTATTTATATACTATTATAGTTTTATTCATATTTGAATTAGCTTTTATTTTTATATTTTTTGTCTAATTTTTTGTAATTTTATTATACTATTTTGTTAATTTTTATTCATTTTTATACTAGTTTCTTATTTTCTGCTGTTTATTGATTTGTACTAGTTTATTTTTATTTAATTCCAATTAATAATTTATACTATTTTCTATTTTCTGCTGTTTATTGATTTCTACTAGTTTATTTTTATTTTTTATTTATTTCCAATTAATAATTTATACTATTTTCTATTTTCTGCTTTTTATTGATTTTTACTAGTTTATTTTCTATTTTTTATTTGTTAGTTTTTATTTATTTCCAATTAATGATTTTAGTACTTGGACATAAATTTATGTTGGTTGCCAAGGCAATATTTCTCATTTTTGTTTAGTTTAAGTTTTCCATCTAATATTTATATTTTATTTGATTTCATCTTTGTTTTAATTAACAAAAATGTTTTTAACAGCTTTATGTTTAATCAACATTTGTATCATTATTATTATTATTATTTTAATATTACGTTTAGATTTTTGTATTTCAGTTTTAGCTTTAGTTTTTATTTATTTCCAGTTAGTCATTTTAGTGTTTCAACTCAAACCAATTTCAGTTAGTTGCCAAGAAAACATTTCTAAATTTCGTTCTGTTTGTTTTCTAATATTTATATTTTATTTGAAGTTTTATTTTAATTAACAGCACAAAAAATCAATAGTTGTGGATTTAGTTAATTTTTATATTGCTGTATTTTTTTATATATATTTTTATATTACATTTTAAAAATATTTTTTATATTATAATAGTATTTAACACATTTAGTTTAATATTTCTATATAAGTTTAATTATTTTTTATTTCTGTTTCCGTTTTAGTTTATTTATTTTCAGTTAGCAATTTTAGTGCTTTAGCTTATTTTATTTCAATCAACTCAAACCAATTTCAGTTAGTTGCCAAGAAAACATTTCTAAATTTCGTTCTGTTTGTTTTCTAATATTTATATTTTATTTGAAGTTTTATTTTAATTAACAGCACAAAAAATCAATAGTTGTGGATTTAGTTAATTTTTATATTGCTGTATTTTTTTATATATATTTTTATATTACATTTTAAAAATATTTTTTATATTATAATAGTATTTAACACATTTAGTTTAATATTTCTATTTAAGTTTAATTATTTTTTATTTCTGTTTCCGTTTTAGTTTATTTATTTTCAGTTAGCAATTTTAGTGCTTTAGCTTATTTTATTTCAACGAAGGCAACATTTCTAATTTTCATTTAGTTTAAGTCTTCCATCTAATATTTACATTTTATTTTATTTCAGCTTTAATTTGAATACCAAATTTTTTTTTTGTTTTAGTTAAAGATATTAACCCTGCCTAACTAGACAGCATTTTTAGACCTCATAGGTGCATAAATCTGTTCCAAAAAATAGGCTACATTATTCTTACTTCTTAAGTATCATCTAGACAGCACTGCATGCATTGCAACAATGTTACTTATTTAATCCAATATTGATTTCATTCATGCTATTGCATTGTATTTTCATGCCTGCTGTTCGTGCAGGAAATCAGCATCTTATGAGATTCCTTATTGTGTAAGAAGCTCAGTTAACATCTGAACTGATCACTCATCCGGTAATTAACGGCTTTGTAAACTCTGTAGATCTCGATGCCTCATCAGTGGCTGGAGGGGAATCTTCCCGTCAGCGCCAAATGCACCGTGTGCGACAAAACCTGCGGCAGCGTCCTGAGACTGCAGGACTGGCGCTGTTTATGGTGCAAAGCCATGGTGAGTGCATGAAAGTTAACATTTTTGACATTCGTGACATTTTCTTAATTTAATGGAATTCAATGATGTTCTCCAGGTGCATGCTGGGTGCAAAGACCAGCTCTCGCCGAAGTGCCCGCTGGGTCAGTGTAAAGTCTCAGTGATTCCACCCACCGCCCTCAACAGCATCGACTCAGACGGTGAGCGTCCAATCAGAACGGTCCCTCAGAAGCAACCAATCAGGACGCATTCCCAGAGATGGCCAATCAGAAAGAACCATCTGATGGAAACATCCAATTATTCATTAATAAATAAAATTACTAAAACCTTAACTGAAATAAAAATACAGTATCAGTAAAAATACAAAATCAGTTCTGTTTATTTATATATATATATATGTGTGTGTGTGTGTCTGTGTGTGTGT